ACTCCCGGGTGGAGGGGGAGGGGCTCTCCCAGGGGGCAGAGTTAAGTGGGGAGAGGGAAAAAAATGGAAAAGCTCCTTGCAAGCCTGATTATGTTTGGTAAATTGAAAAAGGGCCTTCTAAACCATCGATGGGGCACATCATAAAGTTCTTTGTGTAGAGCAAGTTTCTTGCCCAAGTATAAGATACACTCTGCAAAGTGCTGCGGTCATAATGGAATGTGCTGTCAACTGTAAGCTGTCTAGTCCACCGGAAGGCACTTCTGCACCTCCCTGAGAAAGCGTGCGTTGATTTGTAAATGCTGAAGTGCCCGCATGCTGTGAAGTCCCTTCCAAAGTGCACAATGCAATTCTGCAGGTACATGGAGGGCAGTGTAGGCCTGGGGACTGCAGGGCATTCCGAGATGCTCTGACGCTTTGGGGTCTGCAACGCACTTTGGAAGTGGTGACTGCACAGACATCGTGAAAGGCTTTGGAAAGGACAAAGCACTTTGGAAAAGACCATGCTGTCTGGCCACAGCAGGCATTCAGGCCTTTGCTTTAGGAACCTCATCAGACAGGAGGAGCCACAGTCTGCTCCCCGCCCCGCCCCGCCCCTCACTCTGGGGTGGGTCCACACTCGCCTCCGCATTCCGCCACGTTTCGGGCACCAGCCAGACTAAGCCCGTCGCTGCTGGGGCACGGTGTGCAACTGAGCTGGCCTTCTCTGTCCTGGTATGTCCCTGGCACACATGGCACACACTGGCCGAGCTCGCCGCTGAAGTGGGTGCCAGGCCCGCAGGCAACTGCAGAGGAAAGCGGAGAGGCTGCTGGAGGCAGAGGCGGGAGGCCGGGTGGTCTCCTGTGTGCTCAAGCCCAGGCTTTCTTTACAGGCACAGTCCTTGTTCCCTGGGGCTCCCTGACACATCCCAGAAGAGCCTGGGGCAGGACCCAGGGGGCAGTCATCTGTGAGGGCCATGAAGCCTGGCCCCCAGGCTGCTGCACCTCACAGTCCTCTGCAGACCCCCCCATCTCCGCCCCCTTGTAAAAGCCTGCGGGCCTCACTCCTCCCACCCCGTCCTCGCTCTGCTCCACACCCTGCCCTCTGGCTTTAGCAGACTCCCTCCTGGATGTCGCCGCTTGGACATTCTACAGTCGTTTCATACCAAAGCAAGCTCCCTTGTCCTTCCGGAGTGGAGGAGTCGGGCCCTGAAGACGTGGGGCGGTGCGGAGGGACTGGGGCTGAGAAAGGCGTGGGCCGGTGGGGGAGGTGTGAGGGGCACAGCCAGGAGAGGGTGGGCTGAGGACAGCGCAGTGTGGTTGGCTACACTGAACAAATATGTCAGTCAGGAAACTGAGTAAATATGTGAATTAAGGAGAAAGGGAGCCACGTTGCTCAGTGCTGAGGAAGAGGCTGAGATGGTGGCGGGGGAGGTGCGTAGAAGGGAGCCTGAGGTGTGGAACGGGAGGCATCGGCATGAACTCCTGGTTCTAGAACGCCCCGTAGATTCCCACGCCTACCTGTGCATGTGCAGACACCTCTGCTTTCCACTTCTGTCCGATGAGAGGGCCTAGAGGCAGTGGTGCTCCGGGAGCAATGAATAGCCCAGATTTTGGTTCCTACCCATCATCCTCCTCTCAAAGGAACCCGGGTCCTTGGGGGTCTGGCTGATGCCAGGGGAGGGACAGTGTGAATTGGATCTGAAGGAGGGGAGGCTCACAGTGTGTGTGTGTCAGGAAGACCCAAGAGCCAGCTTGGTGGAGTGCCTCTGGCTATCCTAGGGACAGAGTGAGCGCCAAACTACATAACATCAGGAACGATCACAACGCAATGAGTAAGGGGAATCAGAGTCCACAGGGACATAGACCCAGAGGTAATGGCCATGGCCGCTTGGTTTCCTGCAGGAGAACGTGACTTGTGAACGTGGAAGGAATGGCAGAGGTGCTGACATGGCAGGAGCTGTGCAGAAGTTTGATGAGGAGAGAATACTGGTCTAACCTCAGAATATGTCCCCAGAAAACACTCATCAGCCACAGAGGGAAAACAGCAAGTAAAAGTGAAGTCAGTGGGCTGGGGTACCCTGGGGTGGGCTGGGGTATCCTGCGGTGGGCTGGGGAACCCTGCGGTGGGCTGGGGTACCCTGGGGTGGGCTGGGGAACCCTGCGGTGGGCTGGGGTA